AATTATGACCCCTCCCCCACCCGGGATTCATAGATAGCTTCCAAAGCTTATCTCTTTAAAGTAGTGGTAAGAAACCTTTTTCCTGCCAAGGGCCATTTGGGTACTGATAACATCATTCAAGGGCCATACAATCTTATCAACTTAAAAGTTAGCCTGGGGGGATGAGGGCATGAAGTGGGAGGGGGGAGGGGGTAACGTGGGGATAAGGACACATATGTAATATCTTAATCAATAAAAAATATATTAAAAAACTCTAGAGAATGCAAACTAATCTATACAAACATATAAAGCAGGACGGAGGAGGGACAGGGAGGACCAGGAGGCAGCACGTGACTTTGGCGTGTTTTCATGTTGCTGCCCTCATTGCCTTGCCTCTCACCTTGCCTGGCAGGTGTTTGCTGCCAGTCTTCTCCAAATGGCTCTCCTACATGTCTTCCCTGGTAATAAGTTTGCTCTTTTCCTGAAAACTGTAAACACAAAGAGAAAAAAATTATGCTCTTCTTCTGTCCCCGTCTCCAAAAGCCACGGTCCAGTAAAAGGGACAGCAGTGGCCAGGCAGCTGCATCCCCAATCGCACACCATCTTCCCTCCATGCCTCACATTTGGCATGAAGAATTAGGAAATAAATGTGTGTGGGTGTGAGGAAGAGGCTGCATCTCAAAAAACTACACATTCCCCCCTATTTTCATTCCCTAAGTCCCCTTCCACCCAGCCCATTCCCACTCAGTGGCAGAACTACGGGCACTGCATTTCAATGTTATTTTGACACTGGTATTAGTGTCATTATTATTCACTAAGGTAGGTGACCTCAAAAACTCTCTATAGAGATACATTAACTCTACAAAACAATTGCCTTCCTAGAATGTTTATTTGGAGGTAAAATCAGGGAAATGACTAAAACAGAAAAAAAAATCACAAAATTCTCACCTATCCACTGTCTTTTCAGAGAAACCAAAGCACCCAGGCTTCTTAAAAGCCTGAGTCCTCTCCTCTCCTCATGAGGACTGCAGTGTAATGAGCTGTGTCCTGGGGGCCGGCAGGGGGGCGGGGGCGGGGGAGTGAGGGAGTAAAGGACCTAGCCTCCCAGCTCAGGAATCACAGTATAGTCTCAAGGTATTTGACTAAGACTCTGTGATGTTAAAACAAAAGCCTCCCCTATTTGTCTGCTTCGTGAAATCCAAGGGGGAGAAAGCATGTGTGTTATTCTGTCAAAGACTGAACAGAACAGCCACCTAAAAATAAAGCCGAGAAATCTAAAAGGAAATACAGTAAAACTTGATGTAATGGACTAATTTGGGTGAGAGGCTGTGCGTTAAAGAAAAAATCCGTCATATAATAAAGTAGGTTTTCTGAATGTGTATGTTTAAAAATGATAAATTAGCCCAGCCAGTGTGACTCAGTGGTTGAGTGTCTATGAACTAAGAGGTCACAGTTCAATTTCTGGGGGTCAGGGTACATGTCCAGGTTGTGGGCTCAATCCCCAGTAGGGGGCGTGCAAGAGGCAGCCAATCAATGATTCTCTCTCATCATTGTTGTTTCTCTCTCTCCCTCTCCCTTCCTCTCTGAAATCAATAAAAATATATATATTTTAAAAGTTGACAAATTAGTTTACCTGTTTTTACTTACGTAGACACATTTGTAATTAAAATTATGTATGAAAAGTTTAACTTCACAGAAAGTTTTCTGTATGTATTATAGGAAATGCATGCATTCACCAGTCACTGAAAGTAAACAAATACTTAGCACATATGGACACATGGGCCCACACACTTTAAAACTGCTGCAGAGTGACGCCGGGTGACAACAGAACCGATTACCATGTGCTATGGTGCGATTACGTGGTAATCATTAGCCAAACACTTTACCAGCGGTGACTCTTGGATGTACATATGTAGACTACGGTTGTAGATATGCAATATTCATCTATGTTGGTGAGATTATTACAGTTTTTTCCAACATATGTCCTATTTGCTGAAATTTGTTTAAAATAACAGTGAATTGATAACAAAAAATAACCTGTTAATTTAATTATAAGCAAATATTGTTTTAAAGCATGTTAAAATTAATAGGATGTTAATTTTCACATATGAGATATGGACTGGAAATGTCCATTAAATCAAAGTCTGTTAAATCGAGGTCTACTATAAGTTCAAGTAGCCAGCATCCCAAGAAAAAGATACAAAACTAACCGGGGCTGCGTCAGGGCCATGCGGCCTGGCCTTCAGGCGGGCATCCACAAAACCCCCGGCGGGAGGCGCCTTGTTTGGGATGCTGTTGTAGTACGGGTGGTCGGAGCCATCACCCTCCTCTTCGGTCCAGGGCTCGTCCAGACTCTGCATTCTGTTAAAAGAGGATTTTCCAGAGCGTTGGCCGAAGTTGAGCTTCTAGTCAAAACCATCACATCTAATGTTAATACCTGTCACCCCAGAAAAGTGAATTTAGTCACTGCCCCTTCAACCATGTAGGTCTCAGGCATATATATGAAAAGCATATCAGTGGTTTAGTCAAATTATCTCTGCCTTTTCACAGGTCTACCCTTTGAAAAATTCCAATCATATTTGAAACAAGAAAAAAAAACATTGTTTTAAAGTACATTTTAATTGGAAAGAAAAAGTTTACATGTAAAGACAACCAGTTCCTCAAAGCACAGACACACATTTTAGTAAATTATAAAATTTACCCAAAGCAAAATCAACTAAAAATTAAACATTTAATGACATTATAAAAAAATGACAGGGTAAGACCTCTGAAAATTTTCTCTTCCATGAAAGCAAAACATAACTGGTAATAAATAAATAATAAATAAATAAATAAATAAATAAATATTATATATATAATAACTATTTAAACTAGTTATATATATAATAACTATTTTAAACCCTAGAAACTAACCAGAGGCTTGCAACAACCTAGGGAGTGTTTATTTTGTTTTTTAAGCAAATAAAAAAAAGCTGTAAGAACAGCAGCTTTGGGGCATTTTAACTTGCCTTATTCCCATCGCCACAGTAGTCTTGAAAACAAACAGCTTACAATCACAGAGAAAACCAGCAGCCTGATAACCATAGGAGGGGGCAAAACAGCACTGAGTCTCTTTCAAAGCCCCATTCCCAGCGCACAATCATTATGTACACTGTCTAGTCACTCCTTGGAAGAGGTCACTCCTAAGGCTGTCTCTATTTGAGCGGGTTCAGAGCTTGCCAAGGGGGGAAATGCCTCTTACCCTGGGACTTTTGTCAAAAACAATTAGAGGCAATTGTTTAACAACATGGCACCCTGAGGCAGTATAACTTTTGGGGCAAAAAATAAGCTAATCAAAAGCTTTAAAAAAAGGCTAGAAAATAGAATGTCTGTAAGAACTTTGATAAATTTCAACATATTTCCGGGAATCTAGAAGGTCACGTGTATTCTTAGGACTCTGTTCTTATCCAAGGATGTATGCCTGCTCAGGAAAGATTCAAAAAGGCCCTAGACCAGGGGTGGGCAAACTTTTTGACTCGAGGGCTACAATGGGTTCTTAAACTGGACCGGAGGGCTGGAACAAAAGCATGGATGGAGTGTTTGTGTGAACTAATATAAATTCAAAGTAAACATACTTACATAAAAGGGTACAGTCTTATTTTTTTTTTTTTTTTTAGTTTTATTCATTTCAAACCGGCCAGATCCGGCCAGTGGGCCGTAGTTTGTCCATGGCTGCCCTAGACTCACCTCTGGCTTACCTTGAAGCTATGCACAAACAGGAAGTGAAAGTTACTTTGCCAACTGCCTAGCTGAGTGTTGAAAGGGTGCCCCCACACTCAAAGAGTTCTAGGAATTTAGGGAAATCTCTAATTATTAGTTTTCTAATAATTGAATTGAACAGAGTTGTCAGTGGCCATATCTGACAAAGAGTAGAGTTATGGATTTAGTTTAGAAAAGTTTAGAAAAGAAACAACCACTAAAAAAAGCAACAACAAATCCTGAGGAGGGGAGAAATCAGATTTGCAGAGTTAGCACATTATATTATTTAAAATCTCTAGCTTCAACAACAAACATTTTATGAGACATGCGAAGAAACACAAGGATTAAAAGCAATCGATAGAAATTGCCCCTGCAGAAACTCAGATTTTGGACAAAGGATCTTCAATAATATTCACAGCTGACTTTATTCTCAGAAACAATGAAGGCCAGAAGGCAGTGGGATGGTATATTCAAGTACTGAAGGAAAAAGACTGTCTACCAACTACTCTATGCCCAGTAAAACTATCCTTCCAAAATGAAACAAGAAATAAGACATTTCCAGATAAATAAAAACTGAAAAATTCATCACTACTAGATCTGCCCTGCAATTAATATGAAAGGAAGTACTTCAGGCTGAAATGAAAGAACACCAGATGGTAATACATATCCACATGAGGAAACAGAGGATGGTAGCACAAAATTAAATTTCTTTAAACTTTATTATATAGAAACACATATGGGACTTCATGCTTTACATTTATTCCCAGGGAAGCATGGTAGTCCAATCAACTCCGAGCACCCATTTTTATACACATTGTTTAAACAGTGTTTGACTTTTACATAACACTTCAAAAGTACAGAAAATTATAATTAATGTAAAAGACACTTACACATCCACCACTGAAACTAAACAGCGTGAACACGTTGCTGTATTTGCTTCCTTTTTTTTCAGAGGGAAAAAAATTTGTCCAACTGCCTTTGGATGAATAGATATGTGAAATTAACAGTAAAATGTTAATGAGGAAGCTAGATGATGGGCATAAAGGTGTTCACTGCACATTGTTTTTGTATATTGGTACCTTTTCTTTATGAAATGGTAGGGAGGAAATGCACTGGACCAGGTGAAAACCCACTCCACGCCCACTCCATCCTTGCATGTCCTAGAGTTGGTGTAATATTTCTGCATGTTTTTATATACATGCATTTATACATAAACTATGTATAGAACTGTTTGTGTCTTTAAATTTTTCATAAATCGTTCATATTTTTTTCACTCCATTAAAAAATTCTGCCATTTTTTCTGATAATACACATATGCCAAAGTATTCTTTGTAATGACTATATCCCATTAAATATAGAATCTGAAAGTTTGTTCATTCGTCCCCTGCAAGGCCATCTGCCCTGGGGCACTGTCACTTTCTCACTCTAACTCTCCTTACACATGCAGCTTGCCTGAGCTTGTGAGAGCTTCTGGCAACAGGGAAAGTGGGGCCTTCACAGGCACCTCCAAAAGGAACGTCTTAGAGAAATGGTCCAGTGGGTGAGAGAAAAAAATTAAAAGTCTCTTTCGAAAAAGGTGAAAGCTTCATAGAGATGACAAAAATCTTCAAAAGAATGAAGGCAAAGGGACACCACCTCCATGACTAAGTCCCAAATGTGGCTGCAGGAGTTGGAAACGGCATGCAAAGTAGACTTTGGAGAAACAAAGCAAAGTTTTACTGGCAGTGAACACACCACGGTGATAGATAGGCCTTCAGTATGAAAGGTCGGTAAGGACAGCCTACCGAGTGACCACTATGCCCTGGGTTACCTTTTTTATGCTGCATGGAATATCCTTATGTCCTAAAGGTATTCAATGGTCAATCCTGACCATCCTATATAATAAAAAGCTAATATGCAAATCGACCAATCAGCAGAATGACCAGTTGCTATGATGCGCATTGAGCACCAGGGGGCAGAGACTCAATGCAGGAGGTACCCCCTGGTGGTCAGTGTGCTCACACAGGGGGAGTGCCACTCAGGCAAAAGCCAGGCTGACAGCTGGCTAGCGCAGTGGTGGTGGCGGAAGCTTCTCCCACCTCTGTGGTAGCACTAAGGATGTCCAACTGATGGCTAAGTCACACTCTCTGTGGGGAGCGAGTATAAGCCATCAGTCGGACGTCCCCCGAGGGCTCCCTGACTGTGAAAGGGCACAGGCCGGGATGAAGGGAACCCCCCGTCCACCTCCAGTGCACGAATATTGTGCACTGGGCCTCTAGTTTTTTATAATAAATTAAATCTCTCACAATTCCTGTTCACATTTACTATTATATTTAACACTTAAAATAGTAATACTGCCAAGGCACTATTCTTATTTTACAGAGAAATACATATCCACATGAAGAGACCCAGACTGGGTAAAGAACTTGACCAGGGCCACATTGAGTTTCCGAGCTGCAAAGGCCAATACAGCCGACTGACACTGGTCATTCCAGGCCCGGGGCCTCACCGAGAGCATCTGGGCAGGAGGCTGCTGGACCATGATGCCACGGACAGTGGACATGCAGAACCTGAGGGTGCACCTGGAGGAGGTGGCATGTGGAAACATCACATGGTTGCACAAGAAGCAGAGCAAAACCTTATTACAATGCTTTTTTGTAACCTTGGCTACTATCACTATAGTTTCCAGAAAAAAATGTTTTTCTAAACCTTCAGAGCATCGCTCGTGTGTCCGCTTCCATCTGCCAGCTTCCTCCGCGCCACACCCCACGCCCTGAACCCCGCACCCCGCACCCCAGGTGTCTTGGAGCCCAGGAAGCCCTGCCTCACGGAGAGCGCACCTCAGGGAGCCGGCGTGGTTTTCTCCTGTGAGAGTTTTGTTTTTAGGGAGGAAAGGTGCTACATTGCAGCAAGGCCACTGCAGAGAGCAGCACTACTCACCGGTCATGGAGGGAAGGGACCTTGGAAGGACAGCGCAAATACTGCTTGAACCGGAGCTCAAAGGCTTGTCCGATGGCGCCGATGACGTCCTGGGCCAGCCCGTCGCAGCACTCCAGGATGTGGCAAGCTGTGGGAGCAGCGCGCAGGCCCGTTAGAGGCACACGGAGCACCAGTCCCTGCGCAGCAGCCCTCCTGAGGGTGGACCGTCAGCCCCAGTGAGGAAAGGGGGTCAGGGGGTGCGTGTCCCGGGGCTCCACCTGCAGCTGAACCCCAGGGCCACCATCGGATGCATTCCTCAACAACCTGTTCTCGCTAAAATGAAAAATCAATCCCTTGTGACAGGAGTCCGCCATCCCTCCAGGACACACTGTCCTGTGATCTGGCTGCGGCACATCCACATGGAACCTTCAGAGAAAGGAGGGTCGCCTGGGGAAAGGCAAGAGGAGGCCCCGCCTCTGCTCTACGAGGTAGTGACTGCCCGTGGCATCCCACCGAGCGCCAGCCTCTCCCGTTCCCAGACACGCCATGCGGTCCCGGCTGATGGGACAGGGCTCTCCCTGGAGGAGACAGGCGAGTCCCACTTCACCTTTTTGTGGGCTGCAGCTCGCATGTAAGTGCATTTACGGAGGCTCGTCCTGGAGCACGGCAGGCGCCCAGCGGGGAGGAGGCATTCCCTCAGGGTGCTGTCAGCGACAGAGCCCCCGCCCGCGCTCCGGCCGCAGGAGGAGTGGGAAACAGGCAGGAGGGGCAGGGACCACACTGCCTTGAAATCGGGTGACCTGCAGCGCGATGCTGCCTTCTCTGCACAGAGCCAGTGGCGCTCCCCTGGGTGGCAGCTGCCAGGCCGCCCCCGGCTGGAGGGGCACAGTCCTGAGGACTCGGGGAGCTCTACCAGGAGGAAAGAGGATGTCCTGCGCTGTGGCCGCCATGCAGTCCTCGGCCAACTAGGCCTGACAAGGGATGGTCCCAGGAGACCATGTCCCAGCTGTATTTTTGTTATTGACCATTGAGATTAGCTTTTAAGTATCAGCCCACGTGGGCACAAGCAGCGCCTGTGACACAGCTGTTAGGGTGCCGGTTACCGGCTGGCTGACAGGAACGTCCATGTCTTTCCAGCTGAAGGGAAGGAGGAGCCGAGGCTGGTGAGGGAAAGACAGCTGGTCCCCCCACACCCCAATTTCCAGCCCCACACCCCACCCCCAGCATCGGCAGCAGCCACCGGAGTGGCTGGCCGTCCTTTGGAAAACCAGAATACAGACCGGAAGGGGACCATGTGACCCTCTGGGGTAAGAAAGTCAAAGTCAAGGGCCCAGCAGGTGCCAAGGCCCTGAGGCAGGTGCTGCCTTGCTGTTCAAGGAAGAGCCAGCAGTGTGAGGAGCTGGAGGCGGGCGGGAGTGGTGGGGAATGAGACAGGTGAGAGCAGGACTGAGCTTGCTCGGCCCTGTGCACGGTGATGAGACTAGCACCATGTGGAGGGAGGAAAGGCAGACCTGTGACTTGTTGGTGTGTGGGGCTGTGAGACTTCTGCGTGCAGAGTGCACAGGCGCCGGCTCTCAGCCAGAGCCCAGCGGGACGGGCGTTCAGAGTGTCCGGCACAGGATGTCGAAAGCCCAGGGCCTGGCCTGTTTGTACAGTCACTGTTGGCAACAGCCAAGTGGGGAGCAGCCTAAATGTCCACTCACAGGAAACCCACCTCCTCCCAGCTTATAAAGCAGCAAACACACCATCGCTCCCCCTCTCCCACCCCGCCACCCCATGCAGGTGAGGTTTTGTCTACGCAGGAGTGGGAGTTAGAGCAGGTGCTGTGTTGTTTGCCCCAGTGACATGAGAGCATTTAGGCCTTTCCCGGGAAGTCACCTCCTGGGCCCTACCACTGCCCAAGGCCAGAGCAGCCCGAACTCTGTTGAAACAATCCTGTGCTGTGAGAGAAGCCGGCAGTGGGCAGGCGTGGCCACTGGAGGCAGCATTCCCACGCGGGTTTCCTGCCCAGGCCGTTCACCAAGGTTCCCATACAACTCGATGGCGTGGTCAGAGGTCTTTCGCCTTCCACCAGGTTAACTATAGAAGCATGGATTCTTGAAACCAGGTTCTCACTGTAAATAACTTCTAGCTAAACCCAAAGACATGCAAAAATGCATAGGCAGGAATCATGGAAACTCTGACCCAACTCTGAGGGATTTTGACAGAAGGCTTTCTGGGACCCAGGTGTGTCTTGACACCTGCCCGCCTTGAGGAGCTGTGCCTGCAGCCACGGGACCACGCCGGCACATCCGCTGGGGAGTGAGCTATCTAAGAGCCCAGACAAGACATTTACTATTTACTCCCAGAATGTCTTGCTAATCTGACTCCGAATGGCAGAGGCCATTCTTGCTGCATTAACCTTGCTGCCTGGCCTGGGGGATGGGTGGGGGGTGGGGGGCGGAGAACAGCAGCTCCTCACTAGAAGTGGGTAACTGGGATGGACACATGAGCTGAGGCAAAGCGTGCTCCGAGATCACGTTCATGGCGAAACTGTGAGCCCCTCCCTGCACCGAGGCTGGGCCTGCTGTGGGGACAAAGCCCTGGTGCAGGGAAGGCTGCAAATTCCCGCGGAGGGTGGGTCTGGCCCCTCCCTGGACCGGAGCTGTGGTTGCTGACAGTACACGTGGCCGGACTGGGGCTGTGCCTGGCCTTTCGGAGGCCTGGAAGCTTCCCCTTTGGTGTCTCAGAGCCGAGAGCTGACAGGTGAGAAGTCCTGTGCCCTGATAACCCCTCGGGCTCCCTGGGGAGGGAAAGGCTCAGACACCTTGGCCGTCTGGTCATCCCTATAAGGTGTCAGGCGTGGAAGCGAAGTAAACTTGGACCCTCTGGACCAGGCCAGCCACCAGCCAAAGTCCACCCTGTGCCCCCACTAACGCCACATGGAGCAGGAGGGTCGGCCAGCTGAGCTCTGTGGGATCTTGACACTTAATCTTAAGTGACAGGTGATAGGTAATTGGCAGGAAGGAGTGCATGTCCCCCACCAAGTATCTCAGAGGGCCCCGTGCCAGGGTGCCCAGCACTGCCGTGCGCAGGACCAGTATCTGCCTCACTGGCACTGCACGCTCCCCCTGGGGGAGCCGGGCACAGCACCCACAGGATGTGGAGTGGAATCTGATTTCCATGACTGTGAAAAGGCCCTGTGGGCGAAGGCACTCCTGGGCGTGGCTCTGAAAGGAGACAGCAGCCTGCACACTTCCATGGCCCCAAGTCCGACTGCACTGGGCCCAGCCCCTCCCTCTGGAGCCTGGTTCCTGCGTGGGACCTCCTGGAGGGCTGTGAAAAGGCTCCCTGGTGGGCCAGCTCTCCGAGGCCTGAGCCCTGAGTTGCCAAAGCTCCCCTACGTGACTCTAAAGTGTAGCTCACTGAGAGCCACTGACCGAGGGGTCCCTGAGGACGTCAGAAGCGCATAGGACTGATCAAAGTTGACTTCAACAACTATTAACCCCGGGCGGAAACGGAATTCTGTGCCGGGGAGGTGCAGTCTGCCCCTCCCACTCCCGACCTCGTGGGACTTCGGGGTGGTTGAAGGGTTGGCCTCTGTCATAGGTTAGTGTCCTCAGTGAGAGATGTGCCCTTCGTCGGAAACAGGGCTGCTGCAGACTGATTAGCTAGGGCGAGGTCAGCTGGACGGGTGGGTCTGACCCAGCACATCTAGTCCCTGTAAGGTGGCCCCAGGAAGCCAGAGGCACATTCAGGCTCCGGCCACGCGAGGGCTGAGGGCCTGGGGAGGCACCCGTGTGCCCAGGGGGCAGGCACACGCCTGGAAGCTGGAAGAGGCAGGAAGGACGCTGCCCTGCAGCCTCCAGGTCGACAGCTGACCTGAGTTCCACCCCCGGAGCTGGGAGACAGGGGTCCTGTGCTGTGAGGTTCCTGGCTTGTGGCATTTGTACAGCAGCCCCAGCAAATCGAGAACACGGCCTCCACCCGGGAGGAGGAGCTGGCGTTGAGCTGCCCTAGCCTGCCCTCTCAGGCAGTCACGTGCATGTTATGTAAGGCCCTTGGCATCTCTCCTCAGACCCGTTACGTAAGGGCTGCTTCAGTTCAGACGTGGTCAGCCTCAGCATGTTAGCAAGGGGTGCTGGGGATAGTCCTCAACTCACCCAGACCCTCTTGTCCCTGAAATCTTTGTCCTTATCCTGGCTCTGGTTTAGGAGTGACAATGTGGTGATTAGAGCACGTTATCTGCATTAGAACGCCTCATCTATGAACCCCCAGACACCCCAATGCCAGCTTCTAGGGGAGCCCCAACATACCTGGAGAAGAATTACAGCCAACACTCTGTAAGATCGCACCTTCATTCCCAAGACAGAAAAGGCCGCCCCACCAATTGCTTTCCAGCCCAGGGCTGGGCAAGTCTCCAATGGAAAGCGCCCTCACTCACTTACAAGGCACCGCAAACGTCCCGCCAGTCTGCGTGGTCATTTGCAAGGTGCAGTGATGCATCAATCACCCGGCCTTTCCCCTGCACACGCCTCATTAGGGGCCACAGAACATGCGGGAAGGAAACGCAGCCCCGGGGCTCCATAGCCCTGAGGGCTGCT